TACTAGCTCTGAAGATCACAGAATATCAAGGTAAGATTACTCTTGGACTCCTAAGAGTGATCAGCTTCTAATTTCTTAGAATGGTATCACCCCAAATCAAACACTAAGGTCATGAGAGTAAAGCAAATGATTGCAAATGCAAGAAGCTCTTGACTGTTGGACAAATTGGCCTGGGAAGTACATGCACATAACTGTAGGAAATGTTTTGAGAACAGTCTGGAGAACCTTGAAACCAATGTGAAGGTGTGAGGGGTTAATGTTTTTATGGTAACCAAAACCACAATAGAGTAGAAAGGTGAGAGGTGAATGGTTACTGATGTGTTAGTCTGGAAAGTTGGATTAAAAAATCTGTATCAGCATCTTATCTGTTTCAATCTGGGAGAGACTGAAACAATTATCTTCTTTTATTTTCTTGTATTTTCCTATTTTAGTGAGACTGATATCAGTATCCCCAGTGCCTCACTGCATAACGTTAAACAGGTTTGTATCAATTTGAAACATTGAAAAAATAAGCAAATTAGAATTTCTTATTAATATAGGAGCATTTCTTGATTTGATTGTTGTATAGAATATTTTATGTTGTTTTTTTAGAGTGTCAGAACCCAGAGCTACAAGAATCCATTTGACATTTCAAGACAAGAACTTCTAGATCAAGTATCACGGATGAGAATAAACTTTTTCCACACTGCAGCAACATCAACCAGACTACAAGATGAAGGTTTGTAATCACCTCTTTATCAATCACAGATGTAAAACTTTTCATTCTGTTTGCTTCAAGTGTTGTCACTTGAAAGATCCTCTCTTCAATCCCCATTGTAGCACAGGTATTGTAAATAAATAGAAAGCTTCTTTACTCTTCGACTAGGGTTTGTCATCAGTCTCTATTACAAAGATTATAAGTGTAAAATACATTTCTAGTTTTGATTAGCTTAGCAGCCATAGTAGTGGTGGTGCCCAGATACATGTAGTAGGGCCAAGTGAAAGTCATGAATTTTCTCAATCAGAAATGAGCCACCTTGTTAACTCTTTGAGCCCTAAGAGTGACCAGCATCTAATTTCTCCTACAAAATCACCCTCAAATCACACATTAAGGCCACGAGAATCAAGGAAATGATCACCAGTTAAAAAAGGTCTTGATCAATAAACAAATTCTCCTTGTCAGCACCTCAGAAAATGTATAGAGAAAAATATTGAGAACACACATACTGATGTTAGAGTTAAGAGAGTTAAAGTGAAAATTAGATAAAAATGCTCTTTTGACCATATCCCAACAGATGCCCGCCACAGTGTTGCAATTGCAGAAATGGGAAATTATCAAGAAGTACTGAGGCAGATGAGTCCTTTGCGTGAAGTTGATCCAGGACAAAACAGGGTGCACATGTTTGGAAACCCTTTTAAGCTGGCAAAAGATCAGGTAAAAGTAACATACAGCCTAAATTTAAGGAATGGTTATTTAATGATGTAACCATTTTAAGTAAAAGATTTTGGCTTTTGAATGGGTTTGTCAATGCTTTTAGTGCAGTGTGTTTTTGTAATCTGTTGAAATAATATGTATCGTTAAGAACTTTGCTCTTTAGTTTAAACTGCAAAATAGAAGTATTGAACATACTTGTAGTTATGAATTGGAAACATTAAGCATTTCATAGAGAACTCTTTTTCAAATAATGATACTTGATGAAACTGGATTTTTCAACCCCACATATTTGAAAAAATATTTTGGTAAACATCTGCCATAAGATATTGTTTTTATTTATCTTTTACTTTTTTTAACCCACTGATGATACATACATGTAAGTGGTCTGTAGGATAGGTGTCACTTATAGAAAACATAGAGGCATGGTAGACTGTCCCACTGCCAAATCAGATCTAACATTCCAGGGGATTGTTTTTGTTATTTAACAAAAGACTCCATGTTGCTGTGCATCTTTTAATAATTGATCCCAGATGTCATCAGAATGTGTGAGAACATTAGAGCTGCACAGCAGTTGTAGCAAAGTGTGTCACTGATGTCCTTTCCACATTGTGACATTTTTTGTGATCCATTACTATACAGACCCACAGTAACATTAAGTCTGTTTGTTTTATATGATAACAAAGAAAACTTTTGTTAATGGTGGCATGATCTTTGCGTCTATCATCCAATAGATAGATCTTAATAACCAATCAAAATGCATGCATGATGCAGTTTATCATATAAAATTGTATTCTCATCTTCCCCTTTTACTTTGATTGTCTTTTTTTGGTTGTTGTTTTCCAGCGAGTTATGGTTGATGAGGCAGATGTTAATGAAGCAATGGCAGGTCCTCCATCGCGTAAAAGGCCTCCTATAGATAACAGACCTGGATCTCCAAGGGACAGAAAGAGACAACAGGAAACACCTCCTGTGAGGTGGCCTAATAAAGCAACTCAAAATGGAGGAAATTCTTTAATACCCCCTCTGAACAACAAAGTACCTTCTGACAAAAACTTAATATCTCAGGATGGAAAAACGAACAATGCCTTTTCAGGGAGACATCATGGATTACATGCAATAAAACGGAAGCTGAGTGAAGGAAATGACAGAGAACACAAGTCCCTGAAGTCTTCAAAAGGTTCAATTAAACCACAACTCGCAATACTACAACAGCAACACAATAAAGGAAAGTTTAATAAGAAACTTCAACCTTCATCAAAGACTGATGCAAATAATTCTTCCAAGAATGATTTTGTCTCCTCAATTTTAAAGGAAGCTGTGACTTCACAAACTAGAACGTTTTCAGGCCAAGGGCGGCCAGTTATGAATTCTAATGAAGGCATGCTGGATAAAAACAAACTTACAAACTCAGAAGTGGCAGAAGTGCTTGCTGATGAAGTTGTGAAAGAAAGACCTAAGGGCCCATCTCCAAGGCTGCTTAAAAAGCAACTTGCTCGTGAAGCCTCTGAAGAAAACAGGCTAATACGAAACCGTATATTTAAGGAAATCAGACGACCAGAGATAAGTAAGTTTTTAGGTTGCCTGTCTATTTGTGTGTTTTTATGTCTGTTCCAATCTGTCAGTCTACCTGCTTGTCTGAATTATGGAGGGTTAATGCCCAATCAAATTGGTGCCAGGGAAGATTAAGCCTGTCTTCAAGATCTGTACAATAATGCACAATCTTATTTTCTTAATGGTGAGATCAATCAGTGGAAATAGATGAAATAACAGGTGAGGTCTTGGAAAGGTGGAGGGAGTTTGTTAAAAAATTATTTGAATATGTGAATTGCATTGATAAGGAGAGAAAGTGAAATGAAAAAATTTCAAAGTTAATTTTTTTATATTTGAACTCAGTTAATTTTGTGTGCAGCACAGATTTTATAATTCCAGATCACCAAGAGAAAATCAACCTTTATCCTCTTGAGGTTACCTTATGCAACTTAACTTGAATAAAACCTCAGGGTTTTCTTTAAGGTTTTAAGTAGCCAAAGCTTTTTTAAAGGTAAACAGTTGTGGGTCTCAAAACCCAATATGGCGGACAAAACGTCCTATCATTTGTACTTTCCTGCCATCACAGCAAGATTTGTCAAAAAGACAGTCCCCATCAGAATGTTTTTAAACTAACCTTGAGTCAGATGTCTTTTTATGTTTTCAGAAAACATAGGCAGTACAAATTTATATTTTTATTGAGCCCAAGTTTAGACCTGATAAACATCATCTCTGTATGGGCTCTCGTAGCAATGAAAGTAGCCGCCAAAACCTTGCAGAGCAGAGAAGCCGGCATACTTCGCTGGCTGCTGGCTCTTTTCTACAACCCTGAATCTTGTGATGGCTGGGAGTTAAAGTAAAAAAGTGTGGTTTGAAAAGTCTGTTATTTTTGGAATTGAATCGCTCAAATAATAATATGATTCAAGTGGGAATAAGAGCAATACCTCAATATCAGGGGTCTTTTAAAAATGAGTCTGTTGGTGGCAAGTCAAACAAGGTGTTAAAATGAGGAAAAGATGTATGTTGTTTTTGGTAGTAATGATGATTGTAATGTTGTGGTGGCCATATGGCCTACTTTTGCCCTCACTAATCCTAAGTAGTGACCTATTTTTCGATACTCTCTACAGGTGATGAAGATATCTTTGATCATGTTTTAACCTTGAAAGGATCACTTGAAGTGCAGGGCTCCTTCGTACAAGAAATTATTGAAGAGGCAACCCTCTTCAAGAAGAAATCGTTGATCGAAAAGCTTTCATCTCACCTCACCAGCTTAATAGAGAGAGACTCTCCCAAATCTGATGAAATTGAACTTTCAGAGAAAAAAAGATAGCACATGTTTTACATTGCCAAATTGGAAGTGTGGAAAACTGCTGTCCATGTCTCTGTTCATATTTTGTGGATGAAATTGATAAAAGCACTTAGTGAGTTGCATCAACTCATTTTATAACTGTAAATTACTTCTTGCTTAAAGCAACAATGGTTGTGATTTCAGTCACAATTTTCTAGTTCCTCTTTCACATAATTCTAGCACCACTTTAGTCATTTGGGTGAATAATTGCATAAAACTTCCAGTAGCTGCTTTTGTTTCTAAAACAAGTTGAATTACAAATTCCTAAAAGTAAAGTGTCACTGTGACATGACACTAAACCACATATTTGTAAGTTGTGTCGTGCTAGTTGTGCATGCATCAGTATGTCTCCCTTTGGATTTGTACTTCATGGCCTTTTGATAACACCAATTTTTCCTCCTTTTGGTAGAGTCATTCATGACCATAATGTTATTACTGTCAGAAAATAAAGCAAACAATTTAATAACCCTTGTGTCTTGTCTTTAAACACAATATTACAAATACATTCAAACCTAAACCATAGATTTAACTGTTTTCTCCCAGACTCTCTCCTTATTCTCCAATCTAATAGTGTGTGGATAAAAAGGCAGGCTAAGGGGAGGCTCAGTAAATTCCAGAGCTTCTAGACAGTGCTAAGGGCAGGGGGGAGGTGGGGGTATTATTTAACAGCTTATTTAGGGCCAAAATGCAATTCACATCTCTACTGAACAGTTACCCAGCATACACACTTTGAATTTCCTAGAATATTTAAAATGGAAATTAAAACAATTAATTCAAATATTAGCATATTTTGCACTGCAACACTACCTGGCCCCTGAAGTGCATCATTTTTTAAGCTTTCTGAATCATGGACCAGATTTGTCTGGGTATAAACACTCTTTTTGTCTGGTGGAATATTCACAAAGATTGTGGGAAGCAATTTCAAAGAAAAAGGTCCTGTGCATTCTAAACTTGTGTGTGGCCCTTGGCCAGGTTCCAAATCCTGGCCTTTTTCACTTTAGCAACACCTAGGAAATTCTCTCTACCTTTCTGTTAACACCCCACTCTCTTGTTGGTGATAGAAATGGGGGAATGGAGGTGATAGGAAATATTATTATTATTATTATCTTGAAAACTATGAAATTGAGCATAACAAAAATCTAAAAATAAATATTGTAATAATTCATCATTTCAGGGTGATGCTTGACCCTCCAACTCCCATGAGTGACCAAGACAGAATTTCTCCTTACAAATTCAATACAATATCAACCAGATAAGTGATGAGAATAAAGAATAATATCGATTCAGGGATATTTGGTTGATCCAATACTAAATTCTCAGCACTAACATTATAAGAATTGTATGGTTGACAGTAAGGAGAATAACAAATTTGATCTGGAAGTTAAAGGGTTGAAAAGGATAATGCTCAAATTTTTTTGCATAATTTATCTGACTCTTGTATCCATAATAATTCTGTAAAATAGTATTCTTTACTAGGCATATTATTCAAGTTACTGTTCCTGCCAGCTTTTTACATGTTTATATAAGTCAAACACATGAGATATTGGAGCTGCTGATGGTTCTGGCAAAGGTTCCTCTACATAGAACAGATCATAACCAAAATGTGCTGACTGTGTTTCAAACTCCTCAGAAAAGAAAGCCATTATGTCTGGCTCCTGTAAGGGAGGTTTGTACGTTTTTGCACTGCTTCGTGCTCTGACATGCGCATGCTCAGCAAATGCATCTTCAGCATCAACATTTAGTGAAACCAAATCAGAGTAAATGTTATCTCCTTTCTTCACATTGACAGCTTGAGCCACTTTTTCACAAAGGTTTGACCTGGTGATCTCAGACTGTTCAAGTTTCTTAGCTATTGCCTCAGCTGGATTAAACTGCTCTTCCTCTAGAGCCAGTAGTTTCTTGTTGACTCGTTTCGTGGAGTTCATAGATGGCTGAGCAAGACTGCAAGATAACAAGACAACCCTTTAGAAACCCTTTAGCCCCTTGGAGTGACTAGCATCTATTTTCTCCTTACATTCTCACCCCTGAATCAAACATTAAGGTCATGAGAACGAATTCTCCTTGCCAGCACTTTAAGAAATGTATAGGGAACAATATGGAGAATAAACATACTGATAATAGGGTGTAAAGAGTTGAGGCTACATGTAATTTTAAAACTATTCCAATTTTTTAAAAAATTTTTGATTGGGTAACAAGGATAACAGCTTACTAAAGTTTTACGGGGTGAAATTATTGATCAACTTTACCTACCATGCATGAATCTCTTTCCCTTCACCTGCATCGTTTTCAGAGGAAACCAATGGAAAATGCCTCTCTTTATTTTGTTTGAGTCCGATTGCTTTCTTCTCCGGAGTGAGATCCAACAAAGGACTCGTATATAGAGCGGTTGGAACATGGAAAGAAGGCTTTGGAGGGGATCGGACACCATCAAAATCCATAAGATAATAAAATTTTTGGACCTTTACGTCTCAAATAGGATAGCGAAACGAAAAGAAATGGTTCACAGTTTTTTCAAAATGTGATTTTCTTTGGTCGACGCATGCAACGAAGTCGCCATTTTGAATTTACGCGGATATTTACACACAACTGCCCGCGCAAATATAATTCCGCTGACTTAATGACTGCGGTAACAAACAACTTAGGCAGGAAGGGAAAAGTGTATTGAAAGCGACGTTTTCCGTATTCAACAGAAATTTTCTTCTGAATCGATCCTACTGTTATTGACTCTGGCCAAAATAAAATAAAAAAGACAATGAAGTATGAAAAACAAACATAAAAATGAAAACTATCGTCCCCGGGTGGGCTTGAACCACCAACCTTTCGGTTAACAGCCGAACGCG